GGAAACTACAGAGGAATGCAAACACAATTTTATAGCTAGGAGTAATAATTGAGAACAAAGATATACTGTTAATACAAATGATAGTGTAGGAAGATATAGTAACAAAGTCACAGACTAAAAGAAGACATTAAAGTAAGTATTGTGTGAATGAGTTCAATAAAAAACATAACACATTGTAAAAAACTCCATCCCTGGAAATGTAAACAAAAGGAGTACTGAGAGGAGAAAATGTCACCAGAAAGATGAGAGGGTTGCCAAATAGAAAAGATTAACAATGGAAAAAAGTTATTGAGGGCCACAGAATATTCTCCAGCTTGCTCTGGAGGTTGGATTATGAATAAGGAAGATGAAGGTGGGGTGTTTTTACCACACAAAGCTAAACCTTTCATTTAAGAACTCAAACTGGGAAAGTAATCTTATTTTTTAATATAGTTGATAGACAAGTAAGATCTTAGTCTAAATTGCTTCAGGAGCTACTTTCTTCTTTCTACAGATTAAACAGGGAATCCAGAGGGTGACAAGCAGCTGAACCAAATTAACAGTTCTTGGAGGGAGGACATCCAGTCCTGTCCCCCCATTCAAGGTTCTTTTTCTTTTCTCCCACACCTTTGCTAAGTTGCCTCTGGAGTTATCCGAAGGTCAGGCAACCAAACTCGCTAACCTGGCAAATACGTACACCTTTGGAAGGTAGGCAAGGGTGAATTTTTGCTGGTTTATCAGGTTGAACAACCTGCAGTCAGATGAGTTCCAGAGGTGGCTTAAGGTAAGCAGTGGGATCACATAGCCAAGAGGGTTACAGGAGAAGAGAGGGAAGAAGGGAGAAGTCCTTCTAAAGCACCTCCTGAAGTCATAGGGAGCCAGTTTTGTAACTTACCCACCATAGTTAAATACTTTAATTTAGATGGTGAGAACTGTGCCACTGCCATCATGTACATAGAAGAGGGGCTATTGGTATTCTTAAGCACTTTTCAAACTTCTGTCTTCAGATTCTCAAGTCTTTTCTATATATGTTAACCAAATCATGTCCCCAAAAGCTGAAGTAGAATTAGTAATATCCTCAGCTGCCAATCTCAGCTTTCCTAGTTTGCTCAACAGCACTGTTTTGAGAGGAAGCTAGCATTAGATTTGCTCACTTGTGTTTTTTATTGCATATCACATTATGCCTGGTGGGCTTTATTTTCAATCTGATAAACTTATATTATGTAAGTAGATCAGAATCCTCACTTTCAAATTTTCATTTCTCGAAGGTGTTCACAGTTTTCTTGTTCATAGAGACTTTGGCTACATATTAAAAATTTCCCTGCTCCTTTAATATGCCTTAGATATACTTTGACATACCTCATTCAGGAAAGCTTTTTGTGGTATTTACCCTAAATTTAGCCAATTTAATACTTTTTTTTTTTTTTTTTTCTATTTCTACTATTGTGGCTGCTTACAGCTGTTAAATGATGTTTGAGCAAAAGGTGAAACCAGGACTCTACTGCCTATAGGCACAGATATACAAACAAGCTACTACAGGGCATGCTAGGGTGTGAACAAGCAGCACATCACATGCTCTGAAGAAGCTCTCTGCAATCTGTTCTTTCTCTAGTTTATTATGTGCTATTGCTACACAAAAGTAGACTTCATGTTACTTTGCTAGCCAGCGGGAACTTGTGTACGATATATACATATTCAGGCTAGGTGACAACGCTGGGCTCTTCTTTCTTATTACACAAAATATTTCCTTCTGTGAGTAAAAACTTCCGAATATCTTTAGAAAGTAGATGCAGCTTGTATTTCAAACACAGATGCCCATGGCTATAGACTACACACATGAAGAAACTGTTCTAGATATCAGAAATATCATCAGACACAGTAAAATACATCTTAGGAAATTCTTCTAAAACAAATAAATCTTGGAACTAGCTTTCTGTTTAGGAAGATTTTCATACTCTGGTTCCTCTGAATATCTAAGCATTCAGCACATAATTGTAAGCTTAGGAGTGGTCATATTAAAGTCAATGAGAGTAAATAATTCAAGGAACAGTTATGGAGGAACAAATTTCTCACAATTAAGGGATTTTCCTTGCTTTTATAACTTACAGATTTGATTGCCTTATAACCTTAGTAAAAATGATATATTTATTCTGTGAAAAAAACATGACACTATATACATGGTCTCTCCCTATATAGAACAGTGTGTGTGCATGCATACAGATATGTGCACAAACACAACCTGTTACTGTATGCTGTTTCCTTGTGCTGACTGAGGAAAAAGGTAAAATGATGATTCATTAGCTGATAAAGTCTTTTCTAAGTATGTATCATCCTCTCCATGATGTGAAGATGTGAATATTGTAGGTTATAAAAGAAATGAGTGCCAGAGGGAATGAGATGGGTGTTGCATAAAACTGAAAGCTAGGTGAGAGAGCTGTGTGTCATCTGCTGCACCCGCCGAGTTCAGCATACTGAGCAACAGGGTGAAAAATGGAGAGCTGTGAAGGCATGAATAACATGCCAGCAAAGCCAGCTTCCCGTTGGAGGCTTTTTTCTAAATGCAGTAGTTTTTAATGGGCAGTCTGATTTGGAGGACAATGTTTATACTCCTGGAGAAAGCTGTCCACGACAAATATCTGAAACTAAGGTAATACCTGAGATAGACATGTTTTACACTGAGAAGGCAATCCCTTTTAGATAGATGGATTAGAGATGGAGCCTTCACCTTCTTTGGCTTCTGTGAAGTTGAAGTTGCCCAAAACTAAACCCTACAAAAAATGTGTCCTGTGCTCATTCCATCTAAATGGAAAATACAGAACCAATCTGAAACATAATTTTAGAGGTCTGATGTTAAAACAACAAACCATGGCACAGCACACAGAAAATATACTTTCAGAAAGCAAAACTAAGGGATGATACAGCAGAGGTCTTTAGTATGTTAATAATTTTAAAAATTAAAGCTTGTATTATCAACAAAAAATACTAGGCTTCAGAGTGCATTCCTAATTTGTTACAAATCTGAGTCTACAATGTTTGTTTTGGTTCTAGTCTGACACTAGAATAAAAACCACTCCTTTTGTTCTGTGGGCTTCTAAGGCATCTTAAGGTAGCTGCTGGGCTTATTTCCAAAAGGAGGGATTATATGCGATGGACATAAACAACTATTTATGTCTGATCTTCTCTGTAGGTGTAAGAAAAACAATCTGGGATTCCTGTCTGACCTCTGAGACACTGAAATCCAATACCTAAAGAGTAGGTGTTCACTCTGAAGGCTGCTGATTTTCAGTTTCTGCAAAATGATTTTTTTAAGATGAAAAGTGCTGTTTGAAGTTGCTTTGTGACTACTTATTCTTTGCTTTTGTTTAAAACTTGTTTAGAAACTTTTGCAATCAAATGCTAAAACTTCCGTTTTAATTAAGATGTGGGAAGCTTTGCCTGTATAGTCAACTATTTCTATACTTGATATATACTTTATGTATAGAACTCTTTGTACATTCTAACCATACTCTGAGAAAATTTAAATTTCAAATTTTTAATATATTATTTTAATATAACTTTCTCTGTTATTATTTTTCCCTTATTATCAGTCCAGGAAGTCACTTGCAAAACCCTAATGATTTTAATTCCTTACTAGTTTAAGAAATCTACCTTCTTGAAATAATAATTCTATAAAAACCTAGCAAACTCTTTTAATAATAGGATTTTTGAAGCATTTTGCCTATCTGTGCTGTATGTTGATAATTTTGGTAGACCTGTACTTAACTACGTTAACATTCTATTACACTTCTCTAAACTCTTATTCTGACACTTCTTTGTTTCTTTGGGTACCTCCCGTCAGCTTCTGTTTCTTGTCTGTAAAATGGAGTAGTAGTAGCACTGAGTAATATCCCAAACAGCACAGCCTTTGTTCATTGTGCAGAGGGTTTCTGCTTGCATGTAGGTCATCAAGGCAGCATCTGCAATCCACTCTTACCTTCCTCTGGCATTTTGAGGCATGATGGAATTACTAAAGAAATGTTTTATATTAAACACAAAACTAAACTCCAGAATCATCAACCATCTAAAGTTTCTAGGAATGTGAATTCTACTCAGAAAAAAAATACAAACAAAAACCTTCCTCTGAGATCCAAGTAATGTTGGGGCATTAAAAGGAGTGCCCTCCTGACCCCCAGCTTATAGCCTAAGGCAGCAGATAGGGTTACTTTGGATTATTGCCTTAGCTTGTATAACCAGTCATAAAATTAAAGCATTTTAAAATTCCTGCAACACTTACTTATTTCCATGAACACCTGCAGCCTTGGTTTCCATAGGCTAGTTATAAATTTAGTAGAGAAATATTTTGTTACTTCCACTGCCTTTCTTACTACGTCATCCCCCTATTTTCCCATTGATTGAATGGAGACTCCTCAGTTCTGTTAACCACTGCAGAGGCAATTTTCCATTTACCAAGACTCTTTTTATAAAGGTTAAAATCCTTCTTCACTAAAGAAATAATATTTTTATGCTGTTGTGGTTTATTTGCTATCATGTAATCCTTAACTACACATCCACCACATTCACAATTAGTGTGTAAAAAACAGATTTTAGAGATAGATAATTAACTGTTCAAAGCAATTCACAAAGTTATAGAAACATAAATCCCTAGGCTTTCTTGTCTTTTTTTTTTTTAAAAAAATTTACTATTCCTTTCATACAGGTCTTGGAAGAATTAAATGAACTACAATATTAATCAAAACATGGGAAGTTGCTAGCTTACAGGGCTAATCTTTAGCTTCTGATTCAGACAAATCAAATCAGGTTTCCTTTTTTTTTTTGGTGGCCCATTTTATAGAAAAATGCTGATCTGAGAAATGTTTCTACATAATAGTTTCAACCCTTATCAAGTATCAGAGACACCATCATACTTCTCCTTAAACAGGAATGATAGTAAGCTACTTCTAGTGTGGAAAGGGGAAGAAGCAGAAAGAAAAGGAAGTGGTTTTGGCTAATGCAGCTGAGGTGAAAAGTAAGCCTATGTTTACACTTCTGAAAGTGTGAAACTCCACTTCCCACACATATATGCCATACTTCCTACGTGTTTCATTTTGCCCGTAAATGTAGAAGACAAGAAGAAACCCCTCCTTGGGATCTCCATATCCCTTGGCATACAAAAAATAATGGCAAAGTGCTGAGTCAAAAATGGGACATTTGGAGGCGTATCTTTTTGCCATTGTCTCACTACCTCTCTGTGAAACCACTGATGTGCCTAGAAATATTTATGTGTGTAAAGTTATATAGCAACAAGGAAACAAGCATTTTATAGCTAATGCGATGTGAATTTAATGCTCAGGAAATCCATCGTTACATTTTTAAACACATACCAAGCATTTTTTCTTTTTTGCTGTTGTGCTCAGGACACAAAATATTTAACTTCATTCAAACAACAGCATTCCTATAAGTCAAATGAAAGATCATAATCACACGGCCAATTCGACAGTTACACTGGGCTATTTAATCCGGTTAACTCCAGTCAAAGTTCAGTGATCCAAAGCAGGTGAAATTCTCAGTGCAGTCTGTGATAACATCTTTGTGACCAGAACAGCATATGCTTCCCTAGCTCCCTTGCTTACAGGCTTTCCATGTGCTCCCAGTGGCAGAAACTCCAGACTTAATTTGCCGTATCTCAGAGGAAGCAACATATCTTCCTGTTTTCCAAGCACAGAGAAACTTTGACAAGACTTGAAGACTTAAGTGCAGAAAATGGGTTAGACGTAGGAAAAAGACTTAATTTCTTATACTAACGTCCTTCAGATGCACAACTAAATTTACAAGGAACATAAGTATCAGTGAAGTGGTAACACTGAAATGCTAAAAAGCAAAACCAACCTTTTTTTTTCCTCTTTGAGGCTCTCCACCTTTATACAAAGTTGTCCAACATAAGCCATGGCATGAAATAGCAGTTGATGCTTGTGGGCATTATTCCATGAATAGCTTGCATATATTAATGGATAATTTAATGAATTCCATGCTGTTATCATTCTTTGGTGTTTCTATTGCTGCTGAGAATCTATCAGGTCCCTCAGTGCTCTAATAACCCTTATGAGCCTGAGTGGCTCCACCTGAAGTCTCCATACCACAGGCCCTGCCCATAGCTCCTGGAGTCCATATAAACCCAGGCCTGGCCCCTCAGTCCCTGCCTAGGCTATGCTGCTTGGAGGGCCTGTTTGAGTTCTACTCTGGCTATCCGTCTTGTTGATTCAGGCCCTGACCTATGGACTGACCTCCTGGCTTTACCTCAGCCCTGACTAACCACTGTGGCCCTGATTGTTCATCACTGGGCTGTACCTCATGCTGGTTATTCTCAATGGACCTGATCCTGACCCTGACATACTGATTGTCTTGATGTTTGGGCCAGCTCTGCCTGCATAACAATGACCAACAGGAGCCCACAGAGAAAGAAAAGCTTCAATGTTAATAACTCTTAAGTCACTGCAGAGTGAAGTAAGGCAAGTAATGTAAAATGGCTAGGGCTTAGTATAGTATAAAATGCAAGTCTTGGGGTAGAATAGATATTTAAGGAAAGACATGGGTAGAACCCTTTAGTTCATGAGCTCTTCTTCCTAGAAGTGTTTAAGAGAACTTCTTCAGCAAAATCAGTTTCTTCTGACTCCATTCTTTCTAAAAGTAGGATTACTCAATGAGTGTAATGCTATTCAATGTGACAAATGTAAGAGGATTAAGCCAAGCCTTGTTTATAGACAGACTCCATGAGCCTTACATATAGAAAATAAACATTGCAATAATGAAAAAGGGAATTGGGGATTAAATCTCTTTTGTTTTCTGCTTTACTCTTACCACTTCTCCTTTTTTCTTAAAGGTAACGGTTTTGTTATTTTTTTAACTCACAGACATCTTTAAGACCGCAAAAACTATTCTTATCACAATGAAGTCAAGACCTTCTGAAACTTTTTGAGGGTACCTCAAAACTACCAGGAGCATAGAAATATTACCACCCTGCAGGTCATGAAGTTCAAGAGTCAGGATCTAGCTCAATGTGCTTTTTTTATTTTTTTTTTTTTTAAAACAAAACAAAACGTTTTCATCACAGGCTTTTCATGAACTGGCATGAGGCAAACACATTCTGCCAAATATTCTCAGCTTGCCTAATTTGTGTGATGCTTGAAATAACATGGGGGTAGGTTCCTGAAGAGTAAGAAAAGAGCCCGTTAGATGACTTTGAAGTGAACAGGACTTAGATGCTTAATACACTGTGTTTTTTGTGAACATTTTTGTTTCAATGACCTGAACCTTAAAATACAGTTCACAACTGAAACAATGAACAAAGTACCTCACAAGTTGTTTCCATATCTTTAGGAGTATTATAATTTGGGCTAACTTCTTATAAATGGAAGAGCCACATGGTGGCAGGAGAAAACAAGGCATGTAGAAAAAAAAGTGCTTTGCTAAATGCTTTCTTCAGCTTTAACTACATAATGCTCCCTTCAACAGTGTAGCTGAAGGTTTGGGGCTTTACATTTAAATCTCATGAACATGGCTATAATTTATTAGTTACAGTATCTTAACAAATGTCCCTGGCTAAGTGTCTGATACTATTCTCCAAGTCCAATAGGAAATTATACAATGAATGTTAATACTACAATAGCTATTGAAGTTCCGTAATACAGTTAAGATATGGAATCTGCAACATGGGTTTAGACTGTCTACACTGCCACACCTTACCACAGCACGAGGGGTCAATCACTACAAGTGATATGCACATAGCTATTTTCCTATTGTCACTTTTACACTGACACCACCAGGTTAATGACAGGACATAAATGGTGCTTTAAATTAATAATTGTTTGAAAATTAAATACTTAGCCCTTTTTTTTTTATGTGCTACATCATGAACAGGTTTGCTACATGAAAACAAAGAGCAGGTCAAACCACTAATCCTCTGGTTTAAGACCATCTGGACATACACTTCATTTCATGAACATCCATAATTAAAATACACTGATGTTTCTAGATGTCTCACTACAGTTAACACTGCTTTCTAGTTAATTGCCAATGGAAATGGGGTTGCACTTAGCTGAACACACTGTTAGTATTTAGACAATTACAGTCAAAACTGGAGTGTAACCAGTTACCTTTGCAATTAAGATGCAGTTCAGGTAGCCAATTTCTATCAAGAATAAGTGGATTCTGCAGTTGTAACAGACAGATAATCTTTCTAACTTAAGAGCTGTGACTGTTTAGTCTGTACTGGAAGACTTTATAGCATCCTTTCCATTAATTCCATCACTTAAATCACTGACTCCACACATTCAATAAAAATAATTTTCTTCTAATCTGATCCTTTTTTTTGACTTAAGTGTCTAGAATCTAGTTTCAGATGTTAATCCTTACCAAGAACCATCAGCATGACTTTTAAGATAATTGATTTAAAGAAAGAAGACATGAAGGACTCAAGTAACATATGATTCTGTCTCCATACCTATCTGTGCAAGAACTTTCTTACTGCTGTAGTTTCTGAAATCCTAGTGGCCATCATCATAGCCTGGTCACACCCAACTGTTAATGCCAACAGGAGCAGCACAAGCTACTCACTCTCTCAGAGGACAGGGTTATGTCTCTCTAAGCTGTCTTTTATTGGATTTCTTTTTTCTTTAACCTATTAACAAGCAGTGGAGATGTAGCTAAGGAGTTTTCTAATAAAGAACTGGTTTAGTGATTAACGGATCTGACAAGAAAGCATTTACAAAAAGTGAACCTGCCTTGCAACTCAATAGTTCTCACTTCCCTCTCTGCTTCCTTTGTATACTCAGCTTTCATAGCTGAACTTCTCAGTTTAAATAGTCTAAGGCTATGTTTGTCTTAATCAGTCTTCACTGATTAATTTCTCTCTTGCTTTTCCACTCCAAATGCATTTTTTTCCCTTACTCTTGCCTTTTCTCTACACATGCAGAAAAGGGAGTAATACGAGAGTTGTAGGACATAAAACCAGAGATGAATTTCACCATTGTTAATATTTGCTAGTTGCATTTTCTAAAGTGTTTATTATGGATCAGACTCCTGCTGGAATGTGAAAGAATTTGCATGTTTCTGTAGTGTCCACGTCACCTGTTAGCTTCCAGGTTCTTTTACTCCTTTCATCCAAGGCCTGCATGCAAATCTTTTTTTTAGTCCTGTTAATAGTAGTCATAAGTGTTCCATAACTGCAGTCTTAACTGTATCTACAATGCCTCCTAACTTTTGCTCTGCTTCTTCCTAGACAATGTTCTGTTGGTTTTGCTAAAGAAAGAAATAATAGGTTTTCTTTTTATTATTATGCAGTTGCCCTGTTTCTGCCTGCAAATAACGATCTCTGTGATTTCCCTTCTGTTACCTCTTAAATTATAAGCTGCCTCTAAGTATGCACAAAACTCCACTGTTTTAATCTGGACCTCTAACAAGTAATCAAGTTTTTGCTACTTTACTAAGTTTACAGTAAATTTTTTATGTCAGCAACCCACAAAAGGTACAATACTGATGCTTTCTTTGCGTTCTTTTTTATTCTTCTTGTATATTTGCTATGTATGAACTAAAAATGCTCCAGGCTTTCCTTCAATCATGTTAATACAGCATGAATTCACTTTATGCAGCATAATCCTACTACAGTAAATGTGACCAATTCCTGATGTATACCCATAGAATGTTCAGCGCAAGTTTCAGGCTGGGTAGAACTTTAATGTTAGACATTACTATTAGAAGATGATTAATTTTTATAAACAAGAAAAAATTCAAACCATCTGGTCACCTCCTAGTACTTAGTGTTCTAAGCAGTATTGCATTAATTCCACATGATGTTCCCTGTACTTCAGTGTAATGTGAGGTGATTTGACTCAGGTGACTGAAGTGGCCCTCTCCTAGCTCAGCTTTCCTCCTTGCTGTGTCATGAGAAATAGCTGGACATGGAAACCACAGAGACAGACTTCATAAACAAGCAGTTAGGAAGTAAGAAAATAAGAGGAACTCAGATGTAACCTCATTTTTCTCAGAAGGGACTGCCTATCTCACGGTCCTGCTCTCATCCCCAAGTCACTGCTCTGAACTAGCTTGAATGATCGAGGAAGGTCTTTAGTTTCTATCAGTCTTCCAATATGATCTATAAAATGGATATATAATGTAGTCAACAAGAAGCATAAGCTATCGCTATCCTAAGATGCAGCATTTTTGACCAAATCTATGCCAGGTCTTAGGTTTGGCTGGGATTCAATACTTCAGGAGAGAAATATCCACTCTCTGCTGGCTGAGTGGGCCTATTGGAATTCCTGTAGCTTTCTGATAAAGCATGCTAGCATAGGTAGAGTGGTAAATCTCACCACATTGACAGGTCTGATGTATACCTGGTCAAAGCAGCAGCAGTCAACATTGTCATCAGCTTATGCTTCTACATTGATTCTTATGGACCCAGTTACATCATGGCTGTGTTACCAAAAATATTCAGGATTTTTTTCTGTGCATACCAATATCTGCAGAATTAACTCTACTTGCTTTGTAGAAAAGTGAGATTAGTTAAGGTTGCTGTTTTAGCATTTTTTACCACTCCTCAAACAGCCTTCAAAAGAGACATACTTCTTAAAGGTGACTGACTCCTGGAAGCAGCTGTCCAAGGCCATTAACGTGAACATAAGGCTCTTGACTGCATGTTTTGCAAGTACTTCAGTTGTGGGTAAAAAGCAGTGGAGAAAATGTGAGAACTAACTATTGAGGCAGAAAATTCATGCTGTCTTCTGTCAAAGTGCAAAAGTAGAAAACGGCTAATGTCCTACTTTTGGGTCTGACCACAGGCAACATTCTCACTGTTTTAGTTAACTTGGTTTTGGTCTCTGTACTAAGCACTGTAATATCGGTGGAAGAACGGCACCTGGTAGTAAATGATTCTGAATCCTCAGAGTTAACAGTTTTCAGTTCAAAACTGCCTTAACTAATGACTTCATTATTCCCTAGAATGTATTTACTGATCTATGTTAGCAGATCCTTTTTAAGATTTCTGGATGCTGGGCAGGATGCAGCCTGAGCAACAAAGTTCACTTGTCTGTGAGTGACAGGATAAAAAGACAAGAAAAAAGGTCTGACTCCCTATTCCTTACCTATTGATTTAAAAAAAAAAAAAAAAAAAAAAAAGCGCCAAGCAAAACCCAAACACTACTGCAGTAGGCAGGATTGTGCAGACTATACCTCTGGCCACAGATCACTTTGTAGTCTGTCCTGGGTAAGGCACACCTGAGTGTAAGGCACTTCACATACAGACAGTGCTCCCAAATGGCTTGTTGAATAGCAAATGGCACAAAAACCCTGCCTCATTTGTGAGATGGATGATACACACACAGATGGTTAGAGGCTTAACCCAATTCCTAATAAGATTGTTTATAGGTAGGTATAGGGTATAGACTGATAGAAAGGAAAATTCTGGTCAGGTAGCTTGTACTAAAGTTTGTCTGGGTGTTTTCCCAATCTGTAAGTTGTGAAATGCTTGGCTCCTTGTGGCCTCAAATTCTAGTTCAGTTGCAGTGCTCATGAGCTTATTATCTCCTCATCTGTTCTGTGGTGTTATTGAATAGCGAGTGACTCATATCTAAAGAACATATTGGGAAATACAGCTTCACTTTTTTATGAAGTAGATACCTAAAGTTGGTGCGTTTATTCTGAGATAACTCCCCGTTGCTAGACTGAATATATTAATAGCAATTAAAAAAAGAAAAAGAGTGGTAGGCAGATAGGGTAAAGTCTAAGTGATTTCATCTGCTGCTTACTGTTTGTTTTAAGCAAGTCTTACTGAAGTTTTATTTACTTTCATTTTGGTGAAGGAGTCCTGTTGATGGAAAGCCCTCTGTGGGGTGGACTTTTCTCCTATACAGAAGAAAAAATTACTTTTTCATAAGAAGGAATAACAAATACATATGTGAAGTTTAGAGAAATATTGTTCCATTAACAGGTAAGGATTTTACTTCCCCGCATTTATTTCTGCTTACAAGCTGAAGTAATACAACTCAAATATCCTTTGTTCTTACATGATCAGATTTTGAAAACTAAGTTCTCCTTACTATTTGTAATTTCTTTGTAGATATAAGTACCATAGCTATTCAACAGCTGTCCAGACCAACATACAGGAAATCACAATATGTTTCTTAGTAATCAGTAGTTATCTTGATCTTATTACAAATTACTGACCTAAAAATAAGCAAGAGTAAGAATTAAAAAACCCAGGCACAACCGAAATAAAAAAAACTTCAAAAAGCAAACACTTGATGCCATGCAGTTTTTTCCACAGTGAGTTTGGACACATTCACAAAATTAAAATAAGGTCCTTGCAAGCGCCAATTTTGTTTTATACAGCAAAGTTCACTCTATTCTACAAGAGATGAAAAAACAATGCTTTTATTAGCAAGGTAAAGTTCTTATGATATTAGACACTCTGTACTGCTACCGCAATTTTCTTACACGTCAAACATAGTATCAAGGATCTCTCCTGGCCTTCTACTAGAGCCTGACCCAATTCCTCCATAATTTAATGGACATCTTGGAAGCTTAACTGAATCAAACTTTTTCAGGATATTCATAGTATGTATATTTAATATACCAATAGTTTAATTGCCACTGAACTATGCAATCTATTTGATGTCATATAGAGCATGAAGTCTGCCATACAACAGAAGTCCCACATGCTGTTTTTTTCTGAAGAGGCATGGCACACTTAGGTATCACTTGTTAAAACCCAACACAAGATAATTCAGCAAGTGAGTCTGAATCTGTAAATGACCCTTATCACTTTACAATCTAAATAAAGCAATAAACAAAAGTAGTTTTACATGTTCCACCTACCCAAATGTTTTGTGGTGTTAATATACTTTTAAAACCATTCATACCCATATCAACTATTCAAGTATGGTCCCTTAAAACTTTAGATTATGTAAGGATTTTTGAGCATCTAACATTTATTTTTTTTTCTCAAGGAACACTTGGTTTTAAACTTTCAAAGGTTCTGTTTTCCACAAACACTCCTCTTTCATTTTCCGCACTTGGACTTTCTATAAATCACAAATAATTCTACTGGAAAGTAAAAATGCTGCATTCCTTACACGCTGAGCTTCTAGTGTCAAGGTTCTCAGCACCAGTGAAACAGTAAAATTTTCATGTTTTGGATAGTAACTTAGGAACCAAACTATGTTGTCAATGTAAATTCTTTTGTAACACAAGACGAAACGTTGTTACTTTTACTTGTCTAGCTTGACCTGGACTACTCAGAAAACAAAACAGTATGAGGAGAAAAGACTACTGAAGGAAAGGCACAGAATCACATCATTCACTAGCTCTGTATTCCATGTTAGAGATTTTCTGTGCTTACTATAGTATCTTCTTGTTTGGCTATAACCAAACTTTTTTTCTTGTCTTCCTCTGTTACTGTATGACTCATCTGTTCAAACAGCTTTGATATCTTGGCGAACCTCAGGTGATTCTGAAATCTTCGTGCAGCAAAAGCATAAAGTAGAGGGTTAATACAGCTACTGATGAATACAAGCGCTCCAGAGATGTACACTCCTCTGCCTACAATTTCATCCAGTGCCAAAGACATTTCCTCGTTAGAGAGTTCTATCTGAACTGAAATAATATCCAGGATGTTAAAGAGATGATGTGGGAACCAGCATAAAATGAATGCCACCACAATGCTGGCAATGAGCCGTTCCGATCGCTGCTTAGATTGGTAAGTCATTCTGCTTAGTCTTCTTGCAACACACACATAACAAGTGGAAATAATTAAAAAAGGGATGACAAAACCTGCAAGAGTCTCCAGCAAAAGATAGGACACTTTCTGTCTATTAGAAGAGTAGTTGCGGCATGTGCATTGCAGCCTACCGCTCGTTTCTTCTGTCTCTTGAAACAGAATGACAGAAATGCCAAAAGCAATAGACAGGAACCAAATGAGGAACATGATTAACAGAATCTTTCCTTTTGTTTTGTATCTTTGAATTGTGAAAGGGTAAAACACAGCCACTAACCGCTCCAAGCTCAGTGCTGTAATCAGAAATATACTAGCATACATGCTGCAGTAAATAAGGAAAACCAGTATTTTGCAGAAGATGACTCCAAAAACCCATGAGTCGGCAAAGGAGTAAATCCAGATTGGTAAAGTAATTAGTACAAGGACGTCTGCAATGGCCAGGTTCAAGATCAGCAGGACTGAAGGAGATATTTGTTTCATCTTTGTACAAACAGTCCAGATGACGATGCAATTTCCAGGGGTCCCAATAATAAATGACAAACTCAGTATTATGCAGACAACTGACCTCACGATATTCCACGTGGAGTGGATACTGCTTTCCTCAGCTTGACTCATTTTGGAAACGCTTCAGTTCTTGGTTGCCAATACCCTCGGTGCTTTGCACTCCGCTTTTATTCTGAAGGTGTGAGTAAACAACTTGAGAAAGTTCCCTAACTGATATTCTGTAGACTACTATGGCATATGAGCTCACATCCTAATGCTCACCCTTACAAACATCTGACCACACATGGCAGTTCCTGTTTAGGAAGACAGTGTGCATTTCTGCACACAAAGCAAAAATGAAAATCTAGTGTAGCACTTGACTTTGTTTTTAGTTACACATCCATCATACTTCAGCAGACTTAAAGCATGTCGGTGGGCTTTCAAAAGTGTCCCGATTTAAAGAAGCTTGTGACTTTGTTGAAGTTGCTGATCTAATCAACAGCTACGAGGGGAAAGAAAGCTTATTTATGCTCTTCTACTCTTATTTGTATTTAATAACTTAACATTTTATAAAATAAAAGCTTAAAAAAGGAGTGGTAAATTACAAATGTGCATGATATGTTTTACAGGAAAATCTATTCTAAAGCATAAAAAATTATTGTGCTTACAGCCCTCATGTCAGCTTTTTAAATTTAGCAGGAAAGCTGACCATGCTTTAGAAATGCTGGCATAAAGGAAATTGGCTTTTGTCCTATAGTAAGATTGTACCAGTACAATAAAGTGGGTTGGAGTTGTATTTCTAATTGTCTGGAAAACTGCAGTCCAAGCCAAATGACAGCCATCAGAATAGTCTGGATATAGGGCTATGGGAGCAAATGCTCTGTCAGAGAGAAAATACACTATTGCGTTGTCCTCCTGCTGCACAAGCAATGGGCTACTACTCTGTCTCCTAGGAAACTTGGTAGTTGGTGCAGTATTCAGATTCTCCGTAAATCCCAAGTTCTTCAGTGTCTCGCCAAAGAATAGAGAGTATTTTGTTATCCTGATGTAAAAACGTCTTTTGTAGTTCATTTCTAAAAAGTTAAAGGAGGAACTAAAACAGCAGCACCCACAGAAATGTTCAAGAATCACAGAAGTGAAACTGGAAGGGTATTTTTCATAAAGATGCACACAAAGGACTTACACATAGCTCTCTTAAATTTAAGAGTGTGATACAGATTTTTCCTGAAGTGTTGAGGTAGAATTTTGCAAAACTGATAAATGTAATGCATAATATTAAGTTGAAAAGTATCTTTCACCAAGGAAAAGGGATTGCAACACCACCACCTTCAAATCAGCTTAGCTGGTTTTGATCTCATAAGAGCATAATGAGATCAAAAGCAAATCCAAAATAACTCCACTGAAGTCAAGTATTATATCTGCAAAATACTATTTGTGTAATAAAGATTTTAATTTGGACTTAATCTGCTACGTGATTCCAGTCCCTTTTATTTTTTAACCACATTTAAGACAAATTGGGTAGCGGGAAACCCCAAACCAGTTGTTTGTATTCTAATGGGAATTTCTGAAAACCACTTGTAAAAAATCCACTAATGAAAGAAAGTGCTGTGCAATGTCTCTTCAACTAAAGAAATCACCTTTATACACAACATTATTTCTAATAAATTAAGAAAGGGCTCTTTCTTAATTTATTGCCAATAGCATACCTAGATTGAACTAAGTTACATATTTTTATTAAAGAAAAAAAAAATCAAGGCGAGATGCCCAGTACCTTTTGTCACCTGATGCAATAGGGACAGGTTCTTTTAGGTAAAGTCTAAATCTAGATTATTATTATGATTGTATCATATGACAATTAGTAACAATTTGACCTGATCTGCACAAGGCCCAGGTGACCAAAAGCCTGGGTAACTAAAGACTCTAGGTAATAAGAATGCTACATTCACTGCTAGAAACTCTGCTTAGCTGACAGCTAGGCTAATTGCTAAAAACCTTTGTGTAAGCTATGCTGATAAAGCTCTAATTGTAACTACAACCCTGTGTGGCCAGTCCTCGTTGTACCAAGGATCCCTAAAAGAACCCGTATGTTCCTGACAGAGATCTGTCAGATCTTCCTCTTTAAAAATTTACTTTTGGCAGCAAAGAGGAGCTGTCTGTACAAATACTAGTATCTGTATTAGTATAGTTCTAATCCAGTGGTGTATGGATCTGGTTGAATTCCTGAAGTATTTTTTCTTACATTTTTCAGAAACATGTTTCTCCACTTCAGTTGAACTCTGCTTGCCAGACAGCTTCTGCTTCTGGCTGTATTTTCCATTTAAATAAGAAAAATTAATCTTGGAATTGCAGCAACAGCCTGGGAATTCTGTTTCAAGAAAGATCTCAGATGAGTTTTGAAATGCCAAGACTTCCTTGAGTAAAATTCTAAAGACAGGCTATTAGTCATAATATCATAGATAGGGAGCATGTTTCTGAAGAGCTCTATGTGACAGTTGGATCACTATGAAAACTTCAGACTGTTTGTAAGCTATCTTTAATATTCAATAGTGTTGGACTTGTCCATTTGACACAAACTTTATGGGAAATTTAACAAATATTAACACGAGGAGCAGCGTAGTATGTTCGGTAACAAGCTAAACACAACAGTGGCTACACAAGTCAGTATCTCACTCATTCTACTGACCAAATATGGGTGGGGCTTTTAATGTAAAAACATGCAGTTGGACTTTCGACCTCATAAGCACTGGTCTAATTCTATTAACAGCCATAAAATCAGGCTGCATTTCTGTGTTTAAAACCAAACCAAACCAATCTAAACCTGTGAGGTTTTTCATGTGCATCCATTTTATACATAATGCAATGATTTAGTCATTAACATGGGAAACTTTCTCCTTAGTCTGTTATGTTTCAATTGGCAAATAACTAAAACTTTTGAAGCTCAAGAATTCCATGCTGCTGGTAAGAAAGAATTTAGAATGTTTCTTATATGTTCTAAACAGAATTTGCTTTGGCTTAAATATGTTTCATTCATCCTTCAAATTACTTGTTTTTCTTTGTATGCATGCATGAGCTTCCCTCTGGTGGACAGTCTATAATTTACACTACTTCTGACCATTTTCAGACAGCTGTGTTTGAACCACTAAATATAAATTATAATTGATATTTCCAGATTTTGTGTATTTATTCTGAGAATTAGAATTTAATTTCAGTATTCTGAGAGTCTCTGGGCTAACAGCCTCTTGCTCAAAGTGCACCCACCCCTCTGTGCAGTAAGAGCATGCCTGTGACAACTTACAGAGCAGCTGATGCATGGAAAATCTGCATTGCGTAACTTGTATGACTACCTGCACCAACAAGACTTTCTATATTATCTCTGCTTTTTGTCTTCATAAAGATTCCTTGGATGTTTGTCTAGTAAGTGATAGCATAATAATGATCACCAAGAATTATGTACCTACTGAGACACTAGAAACTGATGTTGGTAACCTTGTTTGCCTGCTGATGCTGAAGGGAGGGAGCTACCAGTCTAAACCCTGCCCTTGAGCCACTGAAACAAGGCAGTATTTGAGGCACTGGTTTATCTGTCTCATAAACTCAATTCAGTGGTGCTGTGGGCAATGGTGCGAGAGGCACACTTTGCCTTGATCAGAGAATTATGGTCTAGTTAGCTAGTTTAGCTGACCTAAATGTTGCTTTCTTGAGTACAGGAGGGTCTCCTGTACAAGGCTCTCATGGTGGTGTGCAGCAGCTAACAATGTCTGCTCTGCAGCTACTGCAAAGGAAAGTACAGTGTAGGAAAAGAAACACACCGGCCGTTTCTAAGCTCCTGTAAACACTGTGAGAGCAGCCCATGAGGTAGCAAGTACAAATACCAACACAGCCAGTGCTGCTTTATCACCAGGAAGAAAAACTCCATCAGTTCCGGAATGTAACAAAAGATTTGTACATTGCATTACAAATAGCAAGTTTGAATATTCTGTGCTGTGTGCATTGTTGTTAATCAATCTTCCAATAATATTACGGAATGACAGCCCTTACCCAGCTCAACAACAACTAATAGTTTTATCAAGAGGCCAGAGAAAAAATTTCCTGTTTGCTATGCTCAGGGAAAACCAATTGAGAAGTTGTGAGAGGAGGAGAGCTCACAAGGCACCTGCTGTACGTGAATCCATACACGTTGCCATGTTGGTGCCTTTCTTATCCTAACCAAATGATCACAGGCAATCACAATGTGTTTCCAGCAGTTGTGAAACTATTCAAGTATATGGTGAAATATTTTCCTTGGATAGACATACCAGATTCATGAGTAGAGGCTCTAATTAAGATAGTGGAGAACTGTATTTATAATTCTGATTATAAGCAGCAGTATGAATAACAATTATATAGAGATTATGGAAAAACCTTTCTCAGCATTATCATGAATGTATATGGTTTTAATTTCCTGTTATTCATAGCACAAGCTTTCAAACAGTATATGTATAGATGAGTTACAACTTAAGGTGAGACTTTGGCCTGCTCTAAATCAACTACCCCTAATTTGCTATTTGTATGTACACAAACTGTTGCTAGCCAAAATCCTCATCTACACAAGTGTATCAGGCACCACAATTGCTACTGGGTAAATCCAATACATTGTTTAAATACTCTTCCTTTTGAGTAATAAATTACTGATGACAAATACTGCTTAGATGATTTGCTGCCAAATGTTTCTTGATTTTTCTTTATTGTTTAGTTACACCTACTGCCATTCCTACCCCATTTGCTGGGATTGCATGAAATATTATATTACTATCTGAGCAATGTCTCTTTTTGGCAGTGCACCTCTTAGGATTAAAAACCCCAAACCCATACGTTGTTGTACATGTGCTGCAGCAACAGATGGTAGCTGCTGTTGTGCATGTAAAGCAGGCACACAATATGTCCTGTAGCATACTCTTCGGTAAAAAGGATCTGTCCATGTAGTTATGTGTTTTCAACACAGGGAGGCACTGGGGAACTACCTATTGGGTTTTTTTGGCTAAAACTGCACGGTGATCAAGGCTGAGACCCATAGAACTGATTCTTTCACATAAGAAGGTTAAGCGAGTGTGACCTAAATTTCAGTATTGCTTCTAAATTATCGAGAACTTTAT